ATTGTACACTATAAATAAAAAGGTTTTTGCAACATCATTAAATATTATATTACTAAAGAGTATTACAAATAGTTTTAGTAAAAATAAAAAATTTTCAAAATAATAAAAGTTAAAAAAAAAATCAATTTAGATAAAAGAAAAAAAATTTAAAAAGAATACTAAAATATAAATAAATAAATATAAAAAAAATTTAAAATTTATAAAAAAATTTAGTTATATACAAAAATAATTAGAAATTTGATTATATTAGATGAAGTTATAAGGGTTAGAATCTTATAGCTTAATGATTTAAACATACTGCTTTCTATAAACAAGGTCAATGACTTAATTTTAGCTAAAGACAAAAAACTCTGTAATCTATATAAGCATATAAATGTATATAAAGCCCTGTAGCTAAGTTTATATAAATAAAAGATCAGTATACAAAGAAGTTCTCAAAAAGAAGTTTTCCAATATAGAGAGATAATGCTTAATGCAAAAGAAGCAATAAATATACCAGAAATGAAGAAAAGGTGCACTAGTAAGTAATATAATAAATATAAAAAAAAACTACAAGAAATAAATGAACTTACCAAAATTTGAATACTTCTAATACCAAATCAGTTTTAGTAATTACAAGAACTACTAAAATTAGATAAATTCTAAAAAATAATCTTGGTATCATATTTAGTATATTTGTATCAAGAATAAATTCAAAGGATTATAGATACTTAATAACATTCAATAAAATAATATTTAGATATAAATAGTAATTAAATAGCCTTAATCTGTTTTGTTATAATAATAGTAATGTAAAGAATTGTATATATATGTAACAAGTATTAAAAATCAAAAAGTTTAAATAGGTAACTCAAAGGTAAGCCTTAGATATAACAGCTAGTGGGTGACTTATAGACAGAACTCTAGCTAAGTCTGAAAAGAAAACTCGAAAGTAAGGCTCTGAGACTGTTATGTGTTGTTTTTAGTTGTAGAAGTAGTCTCTTTGTCTCTTTTCCTCTTAATCTTTGCTGTATTTGTTGTTGGTGTATCTATGTCTAGCTGCCAGATGCTACTATTATGCTCAATATAAGCTTTGCTGTATGGTTATTTAGTTTTCTTTACTGGTTTTCTTATTGTATATTTCTGATTTTTTTATTTTCTTAGTAAATTAGAATCTACAGAAAAGAGTTATTATAATAATTTTTTAAATTACTAATTAATATTATTAATTTATTTATATAAATCTAATTTTGTTTTATCTATTTTTAAATTTTACCAATTTAGTCTTAACTAAATTACACAACTCTTATTATATGATAATTATGTTGATTATTTAGATGTCATACTGGGTGTTACCTTAAACATCACACCTTCTTATTTGGCACATTCCTTATTTGTCATGCCCCTTAATCATCACACCCCTTATTTGTTACATCTCAAGTTTGAAAATTGCTCCAAAAAATGCTTACTTTAACTAACTCTCAGGAACCAGATTTCTATAATATTGACTACTATTATTCTAAATATAAAGACAAGTATGGAGTTGGACTTCAAGAAATAAACCTCAAGCATTATATATCCTATTAGTTTTTGCTAAACCTGATATCTGTGATGAGAAAAAACAACATTACTACTTTAAAGTTCCTTTTCAACCTGCTATCACAACCTGCTTTTGTAGCAAGTTTCATATAAGCTTTACTTCTAAATATTACAAAATTACTCATTCAACAACAATCAGTCAATCTTCAAATTCAACTCAAACTCAAATCAGAACTACTATCTCTGTACAAAGTTTCAAATGATTAGATGAACTACCTGCCTCTTCAATTTCTAAATTAACAGACCAAACTCAATCTTTATTCTCTTCTTCTGCACATGTTCTTTTTTTAAATTTTCAAACAAACCCAGCTTCTACAGCTATAATTACTTACTCTCAATATTATTATATCTGTTTTCTTTGCAAAGTCAAAAATATTTAATGTATCTTCACAGATAATCAACACAATCATGCACTAGACTATATAGTAATATACATCTTTAAAGACTTTTTAATTTATCAATCTTGCATACCAAAAATTCAAAATATTGAACTAAAACCTTTATACTTAATCCTATTGAATTCAGATCACAAAAAAATAGTTATTCTTTATAGACTTAGTACTATGTTAACAAAAAACAAAATCCAACTTTATAACTTAATCTTTTCTAAAAAACATAACTCTTAACAATTTATAAAACAATAAAAACAAAAACAGAACCAAATTATTAAAGATATTTCCAATAATCTTAATTGGTTTAAAAAATATTCAATAACTGACAAAATGAAACACCATATTCACTTTGACAACAAACTCATCTCACAAATTTTTGACTTTATCAAACCACACCTCATTAACATATACTCTAATAAAATCGCTGAACAAGCAACTAAAGACAAACCAGCATTTAAGTTTAATTATATGTACTTAGTTAAAACTTTAGCTGAACTCCATTCTAAGTTTTAACAGATCTTATATATGAAAACAATCCATTTTGTAGACAAATCTTTCACTATTCTATTTAAATTAATTTATTTAACTCTTATTATACTACTTAAGAAATTTACTATCACTCTTTTTATACATCTTAACTATCCAAAAATTTTTGCTTTATACAGTTCAATCCCACCTTATACTACTTCTAATAGAACTCAAATTGCACTTAATCTAGCTTATCTACATCTTATTCTTTATAACAAATATAAAACCATTAATGTAAAAAAATTCAACAAAGATCTTAAACTTCATCTTATCTACTTTAGACTTCACTATAATATTAGTGAAGATAGCATTAACCAACCTCTCTTCAAAATACAAAATGATGATAAATTCAATATTAATATTTCTCTTAATATATCTAAATAATATTTTCTTCAAACATTCCAAATTCCTTCTCTTAACAACTATCTAACAAAATTTAAATTATGATTTGAAAAATTTTTTGATATCTATAAATGTTAATTTATTAAAATCAATAAGCAAAAAACCTTCAATTTTATTAAATATCAAATCATACTTAAACTCTCCAACATATGTAAATTCCTTTTACTCTAGCAATTTATTATTTATTAACTTATTACATGAACATTCTTAATAATGCTTCAAAGCAGCACTTTATTATATCCACACCTGTACTGTAACAAATTGCACTATTCTTCCTAAAGATACTGAACATGATGTTAAAAACTTATCTACCTTTTTTTTTAAAGAATCATTTAAACACTTTTCTGCATCTGTTAACTCAGACCTATTCTTAAGTTCTAAGCCCAAATATTTACATCCAATTCTGAACATCTCTATATTTAGACACAATACAGGATTTGTAAATCAAGTTCATACAAACAGACAGTCAAATTCATACAAGCAGACAGTCAAATTCGTACAGATAGACAGTCAAATTCGTACAAGCAGACAGTCAAATTCATACAAGCAAACAGTTAAATTCGTACAAACTAACAATCAAATTCATACAAAAATTGACAATCAAATTCATACAAACTGACAACCAAATTCGTACAAGTTAACAACCAAATTCGTACAAGTTTATTGATTTATTGACACTGGTAAATAAAGTATGAAAATATGTTTGCTATGTAGTAGAAGAGCATTATAGATTGCTTGCATGGTTTTAGGTCATGGTCATACTTTTATAGGCATTACTTAATATCTGAATGAAGTGCAAGATTCCTGAAATTATTATATATATGGGCTATTTTATTTTTTTTAGTTCGTTTTTTCCTTGCTGGCACTCATATATATCCAAATATTTTTCAATATGGGTAATATATTTTATTATAATGTGCACAATAGGTAAGCTTATAATAAATATATATTTAGTTATGCAGTTGACAACTTATTTAATAAATTAGATAGCTGTATAACATAGTTATGCTTAAACCAGAAATGTACCGTAATATAATTCACTCTTCATATAGTTATTCTTATGTAGGTTAATTAGTATCTAACGCTAAACGAATGGTAAGTGTGAACAACTTATTATCAAAAAATAGGGTAAATATCGCTTTATTTGGTTCAATCGATTACTTGAAACAAAAGCTGTCACACTTTATTTAATCTTGTTTTACTTATATATATACATTTTGACTCCTTCATTACATTATTAATTAATCACATCTTACTATACTCTTAAACTAATTACATACTTTTAAATTTACTATTATACTATCCTATACTAATAATCCCTGCGTAATAAATTAAGGCAATTCCTACAGGCGCAATATCATATACTTATAACATAACAATAATCGGCATTACTAAAGTATACTTAAACTCTAACCTTAAATTAGGCCAGATATTGTGCCCATAAGTTAAGGTGAATGTTGTGACCTAGTTGTGACCGTAGTTTTGAGTTCTGTATGGCTGGGCTGGATGAAGTTCAGAACAAATCTATATTTAATTAGATATATTCAAGCCCAGCTCATAATCACATGGTATAATCCATAGATTCCAAGAGCACAAACTGTAAATGGTTTATTTTTAAATTAAACTTGGGTTCAAAATTTTGACATCATATGAAAAGGAAAATGATGAGATTTATAATTTTGGTCAATCAGATTAATTATAGGCTACCCATGGATCTTTGGATTAGACTTAATTATCTATAGACAAAATTTTTGAACTAAGCCTGGCCTGGCCCACATTGGACCAGTTTATAGATGACCTATGGATAGCCCAGCCCATGCAGAACTCTAGTTGGAAATTAAGATTAGAATAGATGCATAAATAATTTTGAGATGTGTGATCTGGATAATATAGATGTGAAGCAATATGTGTATAAATGATACAGATTACACAAAAATATAGATTTCAAACAATTGTATAGTGTTATGCCAGAAAAGAAATTTAATAATTGATTTCTTACCAGAAACAAAGTGATGAAATCATGATTACCAGGAACGAAATAATGAAATCACGAATACCAAAAACAAAGTGATAAAATCATGAAGTACCAAGAATGAAGTAATGAAATCACAAAGTACCAAGGATGAAGTGATGAAATTACGAAGTACCAGAAATGAAGTGATAAAATCATGAAGTATATAAAGTTGAGAAAAAAGTATATGCAGCCTCAAAATCTAATTTCCGATTGGTCAGCGTCATTATAATTGTCGCATCTTGTATATTTTTCACCCACTATTAAAATCACTACTTATCTCTGTCAAAGCCACTACACTTCTAAAACAAACACCCACAGTTGAAGTCACTGCTAAGTTATGAACTTACATTACAAAATCTCGAATCCACTCATTAAAATCTTTATCATTGCTCGAATCATTAACTTATTGTTTAAACTACTAATTTATTTACTATTAAAATTAACTCATCAATAAATATTAAAAGCACTTATTCAATGAGCAAATCACTAACTAATTTTTAAAATCACCAATGCCTATTATTAAAATTAACTGTTCTACTGTTAAAATTATTAATCACTCATTGTTGCAAATCACTAACTTACCTATCTACTTTTGCAATAATGAGCATACCAAACCTATTATTGAAATCACAAAATATAGAAAGCAGACAATTAAATCTTCACAGTATCAAAATATTAGTATAAATTGCCTGTTATTCATAAAAACATGTTAATCACAATTCTTTAATATTCATTGACTATGTATGTACATAATTAATATTTTGATAAGATCTGTATTTGTTAACTATCATCTTGCATAGTAATTACAATGGATTACCAATAGGGGTTTCAAAATTAACAAATAAGTGGTGTATTTCAAAAATAAGTGGGATTTTTTTAATAGTATTTTTATTATGTTGAATATAAATCAGAAAATAAAATAATATTCTTTGATTTTAATTTTGAAAACCTCTAATATTATTAATTACGACATATTAGAATTCTTAAAATTTTCATTAAAATTTTTTTAATAAATAGTAAAAAAGAAAACCTAAATATCAAAAAATTTCTTTAAAAATAAAAAACCAAATTATAGATAATGTTAATGATAAAGGTTTACCAATTTGAAAGGTTGCAGCTAATTTTCAATTAGCAGCTTCAACGTATAAAGTATTATCGAAGTTTTTGATCAAGAAAATCGAATTGCTCCCAAATCACGAGGTGGTAACAAAAGATCTATTTTAAATGAACAACATAAAGAATTTTTAGAAGCTGCGATTGAAGAAGAACCATGGATTTCTATTTCAGATTTAGCACAAAAATTAGTAAATCAATTTCCGAATATTCAGGTATATCGATACTTTCAATTTATATATGTACAGTCAGCTCCAAAAGTATATCACGGTTATATGAAAATAATATACAAATCAATGATAAAATATTACAACTGACTCTTGATATAAAAGTCATCAGATCAAACCCAAATCTTTCTTATATCAAAGACTTAAAATTTTCAAATGGAACTTGTAAAATCTTTCTTATGCCAAGAGGTTTTTATATTGACTGTTTTTTATATCAAGAGTTACTTGTATTTATTATTGCTTGATCAGAGACTTTATTAATAAAACAAAGAAAAAACATATGGGAATAGGTCCACTATCCTGAAGGCTCCTAATTGTACTAAAGTTACATCTCGAATATAATTCCATATCTCTAAACCTTTGAATCCTAGTCCGAATAGTTTTAAAACTGTTATCCCTCAGGTTCAACAATAATGGAACTAATTACAAATCAATTTGTTAATAAACATACTCTAAGAAAGGAACTAGCAGATTAGATAGCAATATACAGAAGATCGAGTCTATAATACTAATATACACTTAATTAAGCATAGTCCCTATACTGCTAATGCAGCCTCGGAGCCAAGCTTATTTGAACTGCGGTGTCATAAGTTTGTTGTGGTCATTGCACTATTTCAAGTCACAGAGCCACTTAACAATGGGTAGGCAGGGATGGCCAATAGAGCCAGCCTTCACTAAGGTGAGCGATAGCAAACAAAAGAATAACCAACTTTTATCTGAAAAATGATTTTTAAATAGCCCTTAACCTGACTAAGCACACCTACCACTCCTTTCATTTGCCATTCACACATGCAATTATAATATCTATTCTCATGCATAATTCTAAACATTAAATGATAAACTACACTTTACTATCAGTTATTTGCCATCTTAAGAAAACAATTACTATAACCAGTTAAGAAACACCTATCATAGATTTACCCACAATACCTGCATTCAACAAGAAACAAATGCTATAATAAACATAATTATAAAAGGTTATAACTAAAACAATACATGTGATTTGCAAAGTCATCTGATCTCGCAATAATGAACGCTGTTACTTTGTTGACAAGCTTATTAATAATACACATTAAATTGGAAATTTTCACCCATATGAAACAAATATTTCTTGCAAAATTTTAGCATAGCCCAAACTATTCCTAATGCTAGAACTAACCATGCTCTAATTTTAAACCAAGCTAATTTTTGTTTTATAATTAATCTTACACATTATATATAAACTAATAAATTTCTTTCATCTATATTTATTTTTAGATAAGTGATAGAACCATTGCATGATATGTAACAAATATTGGTTTTACCTTAAAACAACTTACAGTTGTACCAGACAGCCATAATACTCCTGAAACAATTCAAAAAAGGAAAGAATATGTACAAAAGATCTATAATGAAAATATTAACATTTATAGAGATATGGTCTATATTGACAAAACTGATTTTAATTTACATCTTTCAAAATCAAGGGGTCATGCGCACTATGGTCGGCCTGCTATTTGTAAAGTCATAAGTAACAGAGTGAAAAATATCTCTGTTATTGCTGCAATTAATGAGAATGGGGTTTTGCATTATAAGTCTATTTTATGTTCAGTAAATTCGGAAATTTTTGTTACCTTTATTGACGAACTTCTTAGAATTATTCCAAATAGGAAATTTTTAGTAATGGATAATATTCATTTTCATAAATCAGATATAGTTAAAGAAATTGTCAAAGATACTACACACCAAATTTTATATCTACAACCTTATTCCTCTTTTTTAAATCTGATTGAAAATTGTTTTTCAAAAATTAAAGATTCCATTGCTAAAAATCGGTTAAGAGATCAAGAAACAATTTTAAGTAGAATGAATGATGCATTTAATATTGTTATGAACGAAGATTGTGAAGGATGGATAAGGTATACTTCTTTATACTTTCAATGTTGTTTAAATAGTGAAATTATCAATGTCTAATTAAATGCAATATAATGAATTTTTTTAAAATAAAATTATTCGACATTAGTAAAATGCTAAACTATAAATGTTATATGTATAATATAAATAATATGGTAATATTTATCATAACAATTACGTAATATTATTTATTTATATGTACATTGATATGCTTATATATAACTATATACCGGTATTAACAATCTAATTGCTAAAAAAATGGTCCACAACATTGTATTATTTAAATCAATAAATCAAAACTAATAAAGAATTGGTGCTGAAAAAAATATAATGCCAGATATTTTTATTAAGGCATTCATTTATTGTCAAAAATCTGAAGATAGGTGCCACTGATGGAACATATAATGCAAAATATTGTTATTATCATAGAACTTGAGTTGAAAAAGACGAATATAGGGCATTTATTTATTATCAAATCTGAAGATAGGTGCCACTAATGGAACATATAATACCAGATATTGGAAAAATGTATGACACTGATGGAACTCATAATGCTAGGTATTATCAAGAATGATGAGCATAAACTTTTATTTATTATTTAAAATCTGCAAATAGGTAATACCGATGGGACATATAATGCTGAATACTGTTATAATAATGAATTTCAAGCTAAAAAGGATGAAAAAAAATGAATGTTGCTAATAGACATATAGTATCAGTATTGTTATCATTATGGAATCAAACTTGAAAAGGACAAATATAGGTTACTGGTAAGTTACTATAGAAGTAATCCATGCTTTATTCCAAAAGTCTCTGTAATTCATATCTGTTGATTTCACTGTGAATTACTTATTATTATGAAATTTTCTGATAATGTACAGACTTTCAAATGAGTATTTGTGGTAACTTACAGTAATTTACCACAGTAACTTACTACGGTAAGTTACTAATAACAACCCTGATTATGCTATTAAATGACTTTGTATAGAAAGTAATTTGATTGGCCAATGATCACGTATGAATAACAATAAAAAGAAAGTTTTTTAAGAATTTCAGTCCAAGTAAAATCTCTAATCCGGGTATCGGATCATATCCCTACATATGATAAAGTTCATAGGCAGAAGCTTGTCTGATTGGCTAATAAATTCAATTTAATTTTACATTATTTATACAGTTTAGAGTACTTTTTTAAAAAATGAAAACCAGCCACAATAAAGTAAAAAAAATCATATAAAAGGTTTCATTAGAGCTGTAGGACTCTATAGCCAAAAATAAGATCTAATTCTTGTCTGTTTAAAAAAGTTAGTATAGCAATAACTTCTCAAAACCTGATAAAATCAACTTATTACAAACTAATTTTTTTAAACGAATGAGAATTAGAGCTTATTTTTGACTATGAAGTCCTACAACTCTAATGAAACCTTCTATATGTTTTTTTTACTTTATTATGGTTGGTTTTCGTTTTTTTAAAAAGTACTCTAAACTGTATAAATGATATAAAATTAAATTGAATTTATTATCAAAATGTTGCAAAAGATGAAACCTTTTTTAAGCCAAAGTGAAGATGTTACTTATATTCAGGTCCAATTTTATTAGTAAAATATAACCTTCATCAAAATTTTGGTTCCAACAACTAGGGTTGCTTATTTTCTGTAATATGCTGTATGTATTATTTATATCTATTAACATTTTATAAATCACCTATTATAATTTTGATAATTATAGATGTCTCATCTTTGAATCATTAGGACTGAATTTATTTATTATTGTAAAACAAACCCCAAAAGGAAATAACTAGTAAATTCCTATAACAAAGCAAACATATATAAGATATAGGAACTTATTTCAAAATCAGTATCAAAGATTCGTAAAGACCGATGACATTAATGAAGCATACAGTATAATGCCAGATATTGTTAGTAAACATGGAGCTTTTATTTTATTATCAAAATTCTGCAGATAGTGATGCTGAAGGAGCATATTATGCTTATTACTAGTAATTTATCAAATGATTAAATGATTACAGTTAATCATACATTCTCTTGAAACATAAATGATAAAGTGAACAGAATTAAACATCATAATTACCCTGGTAATTTATTGAATGGTTAAATAATTACAGTTAATTATACATCCTCTTGAAACACAAATAATAAAGTGAACAGAATTAAACATCATAATTATCTTGGTAATTTATTGAATGATTAAATAATTATAGTTAATTATACATCTTCTTGAAACACAAATTATAAAGTGAACAGACTTAAACATTATAATTACCCTGGTAATTTATTGAACGATTACATGATTACGGTTGATCATACATCCTCTTAAAACACAAATGATAAAGTGAACAGAATTAAACATCATAATTACCCTAGTAATTTATTGAATGATTAAATTATTATAGTTAATCATATA